TCTGTTTTATCAGCCTCACTGTGACTAGCTTTCCACTGCTTAAAGGAATTCTTTTTACTTTTTACAGCCTCCATTACTCTGTTTGTTAACCATGCAGGCTTTTTCCTATACCTGTTTGTGCCTTTCCTAACCTGCGGAATATATATTTTTTGAGCTTCTAGGATCGTAGTTTTAAATAGATCCCAAGCTTCCCCAATTGTTTTGACCCTTTCTACTTTTCCTTTCAGTTTCCTCCCCACGTGTCCCCTCATATCAGAGAAATTACCCCTTTTAAAGTTAAAAATGGTTGTGTGAGTCTTTTTGGCCAATTCCCTATTTGTACAAATGTTGAACTCAACAACATTATGATCACTGTTCCCAAGCGGTGCAATCACTTTTACATCTCTCACCAGGTCTTGAGTGTTACTTAGGACCAAATCAAGGATCGCCTCTCCCCTGGTAGGTTCCGTGACCATCTGCTCCATAGCACAGTCATTTAGAGTGTCTAGAAACTCAATCTCTTTTTCCCGACTAGAACACATATTGACCCAATCAATGTGTGGGTAGTTAAAATCACCTATTATTACACAGTGTTTTTGTCTAGTTGCTATCTTTAAGGCATTCATCATTTTATAATCCTCCTCTATCTTTTGATCTGGTGGGCGATAACAAACTCCCAGTGTTAAGTTTCCTTTTGGCCCCCCTATTTCAACCCATAGAACTTCCAGAAGCGAATCCAATTCACTTAGCCTCTCAATCTTTCTAGACTTTATACCCTCTCTGACATACAGAGCTACCCCACCTCCAACCCTTCCCCCCCTATCCTTCCGATATAATATATAACCGGGAATCACTGTGTCCCACTGATTTTCCTCATCCCACCAAGTTTCAGAAATACCCACAATGTCTATTTTTCCCTCCGACACCAAGCACTCCAACTCCCCGATTTTACCTCGGACACTTCTAGCATTTGTATAGAAACAGCTGTAATTTCCCTTACAAGTTAAGCCTGCATCCTTCCTCTTGCTATCTCGAGTCGTTGTCCGGCAGTCCAAAAAACTGCTCTGCCACCTTTTTGATTTTAAGCGCCAGCAGCCTGGTTCCTTCTCGGGACAAGTGGAGACCATCTCATCTGTACAGCTCCCTCTTGTTCCAAAAAGCATCCCAGTGCCCCACAAACTTGAACCCTTCCCCTTTACCCCATCATCTTGATCTCTGCCTGTCTCTCCGGCCCTGCGCGTGGAACAGGTAACACTTCTGAGAAGGCTACCTTGGAGGTCCTGGACCTAAGTTTCCTGCCCAGCAGCCTAAATTTCTCCTCCAGGACCTCACGACTGCATTTCCCCACATCGTTGGTGCCAACATGCACCACGACCACTGGCTCCTCCCCAGCACTATCTACCAGCCTATCTAAAACACGCGTAATGTCCGCTACCTTCGCACCAGGCAGGCAAGCTGTCTGAAAGTACAACAAAAGAAGGCTGAATTGTTATAATAAATATAAACATTATAAATATTATTGATTTTTTAAAGATTTCTACAAGAAATGAAAAACATTTCTACCTCATATGTTGTGCAGTTGCTAAAAGTTTATAAAGCAGGCCATGGATCCCTTCTGATAGAACCCTCCCTTTCTCTTTTCTCTTCCTCGCACCTCTTACTTTTCCCTCCTGCCTCTGTGAACTGTATTATGGGGGGGTTAGTGCATCATCCTTTAGCTCCATCATATAGCTGACTGCAGGATAACAAATGTGCCACTTTATTGCAATGCTTGGTTGACGACACACACAGCCAGAAACATAGGAAATTTCATACTAGGTTGATTTGCGAATCTAATTATTTTTTTACTTAAATGTTTACTTATAAATATAACATGTTATTTTATATATAATTTTTATTTTTTAGATTGTTATATCACTGAAGATTTTGTGGTATGAGTGCCGTTACCATGAGAAGGGATCCATGGCCTGCTTTATTCACACCTTATGCTTTTAATCTTTGCCATTGTGTACACTATATAATAAATATATATATATATATTGATAATATTCTATTTGAGGTAGCTTGACCCTCAACCTCCTGTATACAGAGGCAGTATACCTATGGAGAGCAGATGCCAGGAACAAACTAGAGGTGTCCAGCACATGAGCTTCTGGCTAGTGGAGACAGAATGTTAGTCTAGAGCAGAGATGTTGAACTTATTTTTTATGAAGGCTGGATCTCACATAAATGTCACTTTGTCTGGCCAGACCATGTGTGCCATAGAATGTAATGCCAGGTGAGGTACCAGTACCAGAGACACAAACTTTATAAAGGACAGCAACTGGTAAAGTCTGAATTGGTGTGTCTTCACGAGGCCCCATGGACTAGGGAGGGGGATGCAGAGGAAAGCCTGTATGGGTGTACTGGAGAACCAGTGGTGCAGGGCTTCTCCAGCCCACTCCCACCGTAAATCCTGTTAGCCTGAGCCCAGCGTAAAAACTCTAAGTGGCTGGATGTTATGAGCTCCCCCCTTGCCCCCGAGCCACCATGGAAGGGGACTGGGAAGACAAGTTAAACTAACCCCCCACACACACCTGTGGAAACAGGGGCGGGGGAGTGGCCCAGGTGTGAGGCCACATGCACGGAAGGATTCAGGTCAAGCAAAGCCTGATAAGCCAGAGACGCCCATGCAGCAGCAGTCACCACTGGCCAAGTCTGCCAGGCCATCCATGTTGGGGCGAAGCTGGAGGATTAAAGCCAGAGATCATCAGCAAGCCATGTCATCCCCATGCAGTGGCAGCTGCTCCAGGCTGAAGGCCACTGGATCATCTGATGGGGTAGCATGAACCACATGCGCAAGGCCTCACATGTGGTAGAGGCCTCAGGCCACCCAGTGACCAGTATAGCCGGAGATTGCCGGCACCACCCCTCCCCACAAGGCAGCAGCTGCCTACAGCTGAAGGCTGTCAGGTGTTCCATGAGGAGGAAGGCCCGGCCACCGAGTTACGTGCTTGGTGGCAGGAGTAGGCCCCCAATGTGTGGAAGAAACTGAAAAATGCGCAGCCGCCACATGGGAGGGCATGAATATGGCCGTGGTGCTGGCCACCAGCAGGCCCTAGCAGAGAATCATCTGTGCCCCCCCATGCGAACTCCGATCACAGCCATCCAAGATGGCTTCCCTAGAGCTGCATCTTGAGCAGAGAGGCATACAATCTCACCTTGGAACCCTAAACCAGCATGACTGCAGCTACGCTGGCTCCCAACTTCCCAGTGAGGCTGCCACTGAAGTGAACGACAATCGGAGTGGCTCCGCCTGCTCTCCCTCCCCCCATGCAGCTGCCTGTTCCCTCCCTTGCACCAGTTGCTTGCAGGCCGGATAAGAGCCCTGGACACACCAATTCCAGCCCCTGGGCCTTATGTTTGACACCCCTAGTAGAGGGACCTTGGCATGCTCTAACAACACAGTCCTGATGCTCTTATCAGTATCCTCCATGATTGACTGTGTGTAGTTCAATATAATAACACAAGCATGTTGTCTACAGGGCTAGTGGAATACTCCTTACTAACAAATGCATGATTCAAATGCTACATTCCCCCTCGTCCCCCAAAAGTGAATCTTGATGTTAAACTCCAGCAGCTCAAGGTCTCTGCACTGGAAGTAGTGTTGGGTGCAATAAAAGCTTTGTCCAGATGACACATCAGACTGGGATTCTCTTTTAACCATCTCCAGTTGCTGTTTTCCAAATGAAGATGGAAGAATGTAGAGCACTTTGGGCAAAATGCCACTGAGCTAAAGCCTAAGAAAATGACTGACTGAGTAGTAAATAGGAATTCTTTGAGTTCTGCTTTGCCAATAGTTTGTTTGGCAGATAGACAATATGCCAAAGGAATTTTGTGCCAAGGTGTCTTGAATATTTAGAAATAGAAATGGCAACCCCCCAAATATCACACTAGTAATTCCCTTTTAAACATCAATTTAGTTAAGGTGTCCAATATGCTACTGGGGAAGAGCAGAGGGCAAGTACAAGTAACCCCAGAAAGAGTGAAGTGGCTGGGCCAAAGCCGAAAGGACGCTCAGTTGTGGATGTGTCTGATGGGGAAAGGAAAGTCCGATGCTGCAAAGAACAGTACTGCATAGGAACCTGGAATGTAAGAACATGAAGTTGAGTGAACTTCAGAGGACGGTGGAAGACCAGAAGGCCTGGCGTGACCTGGTCCATGGGGTCGCAAAGAGTCGGACTGGACTGTGCAACTAAACAACAACACAGCTGAACATAGGCCAGAAAGGAGACTCTTTCTGTGTAATGATGCTCCAAAATGATAAGAGGTGTTCTCATATAACAGCACTGCCGACAGCACAGGGATTATACAAGGCTAAACATGAAAAAAGAAACTTTCATTCAAAGTAGGGGGAGTAGGAAGAAGGATAGCAGTGTGTTCGATTATGAAGTGTTGCTAAAGGCAACAAACTTGGACCTCAAGCCCCAAAACATGAGGATTACACAAGCACTATTTTTAATAATATTTCATTCTTTGGTCAGGAACAAAATCAAACTTCTTTAAAGAGAGAGAAAAGACAGGGCTCCTACCTTTTGATATAGAATCCAGGGATCTTTTCAGAAAGCCAGCTTTCATTTTAGAAGAACAATCTCCTAGTCCTCAGCGCTAAAGTAGTTTGCATATATAAACCACACATTCGTGGTTTTTTAATTTTATTTCCTTCCTCGTTGTTCCCAAAAGCAGACCGCGAACCAAATCCCGCGGGCTTCTTCGGCTCACGCGAGCTTATGTTTCTAGACGCTCCCAAACACCTAGCCGCACAGAGGCAGCCCTTTGACTGACCCCTCCTCCCCCACCGTATATTACCTCTTCAAAGAGCGGAGAGTCAGAACGGCGCATTCAGATTTTGAATGGAGGAGACCTGAGTTAGCCTGCTGACGTAGCCTCACTCCATTGGCCCCTTGTCGTGATGGCGTAATCGCTGCCTAAGTGGCTGGGTGGGGAGGGTGGAAACGGGCTCAGTCAGTTTGAAGCAAGAGGAGCTGGCGAAAAAGCCCCGACGGCGCCCCATAGAAATGGGCATGGGAGAGGAATATAGGCGCGGAGACAGGCAGCTGAGTGGCTGAGGCGATAAACGCAGGCAGGTCTTCTTCCGAGCTTGCCAGAAGATTGCGAACTAGGTACGGGTGGTCTGCAAAGTGACGGCTGGCTGCGGCAAAGGGGTGCGAGGCGCTAGGTGCTCGCCCAGAGCTAGGTGGGTGTGTTATGGGGGGAAGGGGGCTAAGCACACATGGGGCGAGGAGGGGGAGGGCGCCGGGTTGCGAGAGAGATCTGTGTCTACTTGCGTTGCTGCTGTTTGTTCAGCTATCCTTTGCGGGGGGGGGGTGCGGGAAGGGAGTGCCTTCCTCTGGAAAAAGGCGCTTCTCTTTTCATCTTGCTTCGCTGAAAGCCTTTTTTAAAAAAAGCCCTTGCTCATGCCTTGTGTTATGTTTATATCGCCAAAAAATATTCTTTTTTAAAATGGGGGACTACTAAATGTGTATGAATAGCAGCAAGAGATGCTTACACGTTGGGGGTGGGGGACCCCTCAAAAGACACCGTTCCCCTACAAAAACCCCTCACAAAGCGCAGCGTGGCGCGTCTCTTTGTTTTAAAAGTCAGCAATTTATCGGTGTCTGTGGTCTGTAAACCATTGATGATTGTTTCCACTCCCATCAGTTCTGCCTCGTCGATGTCGCTAGCTTCCCAGGAGAGGAAAGGAAAGGGGAGGAGAGAAGCAGCGAGAGTGAGGGGAACAAATTATCGATTTGATTAACAATTTGGTTTTAATCATTCCAGCTGTTTTTTAGAGGTGGGGTAGCCGTTAGGGTTTGGCAAGTATAGGAGGCCGAATCCTTTATCGGAGGAAGATCCCCCATTGTCTTAAGGTGAAAAAACCAACCTGAGCGTGTCTCTTTAAATTCCCGTGAATGAATTGGAGATGAGTATCGCAGCTCGGTGTGTGCAAAGAGACCAAAGCGGGAGAGTTCCAGGAAGTCGCATGTTAATAAATCCCTGGGTTTGACTAGCTGTAAATGTACTTGGAGAGCCGGGGTGAGAATAGCGTTTCGCTTTCTGGCAACTTCTAACAATGAAGTAACCCAGACAAAAGACCGCTTCTCTTCCCACCTCCCTTTTCTCTTCCAAGGCTGCTTGGGAAACTTCTCCCTTCCTGGGAGATCAAGTACTCCTGATAGCTGGCGCACTTGGGACTTTGAAGCTGAGTTGCTCGTGTGGTCCCAAAGAGAAGTAGGTCTGTCTGGATCTGAGCTGTGCAGCCTTTGGAAAAGGAGCAGGTAGCCCTGAGGTGGAGTCTTCTCTTTCTGAAGTAGAAGGAAAAGCTGCCTTTGGCTCTCATATTTTCTGGATTTTCTTGTATAATTTGATGGAAACAGGCATTGGCCAGGTGGATTACATAAAATGGCCATTCTTCCCACAAGTAGTAGTTAAAGTAGCTTGAAGGTGCACAAAGGAAAGCACTAGGAAAAGCTTTTACCCACCCCCCACCTAGTAATGTGTTTATTGTTTTTTCCTGCCACCCTCCTCCACACATCAAGTCCTTTCCCCTCTTAACGTGGGAGTGATGGTGGCATTTGTCGCCTCTGGTGATTGTTTCAAGGTGTCTGCGTGAAAAGGGGCTGCTGCTTCCCTCCCTGTCTGCTTCTCAAGCTAGCTTATTGAAGTTCAGCTTCACCAAGTGCTCTGAACTAGAGTTGCAAACAAAGGGAACTGCTAGGGTTACGCTTCTCCCCATCCCCATTGCTTAAATTTCAGGATGTCCTGCCAATTTCTGTATGAGTGGCTCTGTTGTGTGTTGTTTAGATCCACTCCTGTGATAGACAGGGGGATAAACTTGTCTCTCTTACTGTGACTGAACTTCATGCTCACTCCAAGATGGCTTTCTTGATGCTTGCAAAACAAGCCTGTGTGCTCAGCTTGCTAGCTGAGCCCTGTGTTTAGTATCTGAGCAGGGATGCTTCTTTAACTGCTAGTAGTGGGATGTTAGCATATGCTCAGGCCAGAAGTCCCCAGATGTTGTGAATTATATTGCTGGGTTCTTTCAAAACACATGCAGAGCTTTGTGTGTGTGTATAGAAGGGGGGCCTAATAAAATATGTAAAGATTGCAGTTTCTGTTAGATCTGCTCTCCAGTCAACCTTCACAAAGGCATTTTAACTTGATCAAGCTCTCCTTGACTTTGTCCTAAATCATTTTTTTTTGGGGGGGGGGGGTCAGAGTTCTCCTGGGCATTGAGTACTGCAGGACTTTATACCAAGTTTCCTGAGTTTCAAAAGATTGTCTTGCACTTTGATCCTGTGCATGGTTACTCAGAAATATCCTGTCTCCCCATTACATATCCATAGGGTTGCATCTTCAGTGAGAGCTATACATGGCAAGGCTTGGATCCTTTCCCTAGTCTGCTACATTAAGAATTGAAATTAAAGTTAAAGCATTTGTTAAAGCATTGATTATTTAAAGGAACAGAGTTATCTCTTACTTCAAGTCCAGAACATTCATATCGGTTGTATCATGAACTTTGTTCTTCCCTGCAGTTAGATTTCATAATACCACTATAAAGTTGTCATGGGGAAGAATCTTCAGCTTTCTATTATGAGATGGGGAAGCTTTTCTTTCAGTGGGGTGCTAGAGTAGTATAAATGGACAAGTTCTAAGCCAGGGCAAAGGGGGGTCTCTTATGTGTAATCGTTAATTAGCAAATGGGCTTGAACTCCAAACTTGTGTGTGTTATTTATCTTCCATTAGAAGGTAAGATGATGTAAACTCTTTGACAATAGCTAGGCTGCCAGCTGCTTTAAGGGAAGAAATGGGTCTTGAAGAGACGCATAACAATGTGGAGCCCCAGCTGGCTGGTATTAGCTGTCATGCTCCAGTAGAGACACTAAATGAGATACGCTGTAAATCCTCCCTCTTGTAGCATTGAGAAGCTCTTTCCTGAGATTGTGTGGTGGCTGCTGGAAGTTTGATGATTATCTCGTCATACCTTGCTACAGAGAACTATAATTTGTGTGCTTATTTGTGAAGAGGCAGCTTGAAGGGATATTAGTTTGCACCTGTGTTTCATCTTGCCATAGCATCTTGACTCTGATAAGCAATGGCTGCAACATTTCCCTCCCTCTGTTAAGACTGGTGGCTATTGTGACTCAAAAATAGCTAATTAGTGGAATAAAGTCCAGACTGGACCTCCAGTTCGGATCTCACATCTAGCCAATGAAGTCACAAAGTGTGTAAATCCCTGAGGTCACGGGAAAGCAATATGTCGAAGTATGTCCTGGCTTTTTGGCTCATCACCACTCTATGCTGACAGTTGCTAAAGCATGCCACAGAAATGCCTAGCCTGTGCTGGGGTAGTCCAGAAATGGGGGTTACTAGCTGTGCAGACCATAGGACTATGGCAGCAGTTGGCTCTAAGCCTCCTGTGTTAGCAACAAATAAGGTGCAGCAAGTGTCTTGCTCTGCCCAAATCTATGCTTATGTTCAGTGTAGTTTATGCTAGTCCCTGTGTCAGTGCCCGATACTTTGTGCTTTCTGTCTTCTCCCACCTTCCTCTTGTTCACCCAGTCGCTGCTGAAAGATGTGTGTCTAGCTGTGCTTACACTTGCTTGGAAAACATGGTTACATGCTGGAGCATGTCAGCATTGTAATGCATGAACTGTATGCATCTCACAAAACAGGTCTCATCCTGAAGGAGCTTCAGTTGGCATGGATCTGGGCATCCCTAGCTCCCGCCTCTTAGGCATTAGTTGGCTGTTTTGACAACAAGCAATAATTTACCTTGCTGGCCTACTGCAGTGAGTGAGACTAGTCTCCATGGGGGCTGCCCTCGGAATGCTGGACTAAGTGCTCGTCATGAACAGTTTTAAGCCTAAATGTGTTTTGTGTCGGTTCTGTGTTGGGGCCATTCTCCACAAAGCAGTCAATGTTGTTCTAGTATTTGCATAAGGACTTGCAATGGAGAATCCACGTTAGGGCCTATCATGCCAGTGAAACAATTCATCTCCCGGTGATTATATTCTGATCATGACATCCCCTCTTACATAGGTCACTGACATCAAAGGTATATCTGTGTCAGTTATCTTTTTCCCAAAGTGTGAGCTTATTTATCGTCCCCTCTTACGTAGGTCACTGACATCAAAGGTATATTTGTGTCAGTCTTTTTCCCAAAGTGTGAGCTTATTTATTCATTTATTCATGACATATCGCTGCTCTTCTGGTACCCCCTCCCTTGCTATCAAGCTACAAATTCGTTAACCTAGCATCCAATTCCCAGGGGGCAACTTGAGCAAACCAACCCCAAATGCTGCATTTCAGCCTTTGACCAACTCTAGCTAGAAACTCCAAGGTCTTCCTTTCTTCTTCAAAGTGTCTCCTTGGAAATTACACACTGAGAAAATTGTGCTACTTTCTAATAGCATGTTAGTACCATTTCAGTTGTGTAAGTTAAAAAGATGACCACAGCAGTAGTTTCTGCTGCATTTCGAAGAGTAGTGCAAATACCATTCACATGAAAATAAATTACACTGCTGTTTCACAACAATAGGGAATAATTACAAATTTTGGAGTGTAATGGAGGCAGAACAAGATAATTCTGGGTTGTTTTCTAGAATCTGTTATTAATATGTGTATAGTTGATGGCCATTGTGCAACAATTGACTGGTGTGGAGGCACCCTGAAATCAAAGTATGGCCTGCTAATGAGCAGTGGCCAGCCTTAATTTCTGAGAGGTTGTAAAACTTAGCTTGCCCTGGGCTACTTTTATTGCCATTAGGGTCAAGAGTGCTGGTGTAATGATTTCCTGGCTGTGTGATCGTAAGTTATTGTGCACAGTGGGGTGGTTACTTTAAATGGCTTAGGCTCTGCTGACACAGCTGGCTTCTGCTGGGCAGTATGAATTCTGGGGCTCACTGTCCAGAGCCTAAAGAGCACCTACCAGCACCCTGAGCTGCTTCCTAGCTGCCAAGCGATTGGTCATTTTATTTTGCTTTGAGATCTGTGGCTGTGGTGAGTCTCTTTGACTGTCCAAAGGGCTAGTAAGTTCTTGGACCAGTTTGTTCTGGTACTATACCCACAGCATCAAGCTTTTCAACCAAGAAAGTTCCTGGGCTTTCCTGCTTTCCCCATAAATAGTTTACTCCAGCTCTTTTCTACCTGTTTAGAGAACTGTGGGGGACTTCCTTAGTGACAAGATTGTAAGGT